TAGAGCTTTACCCTATATTAAGTACTTTTGCTTGTCAAAGTTCTTGTTATGATTTCCTATCTTCAAAAAGCTAGGCATGTTGATAAAAATTGTTTCAGATTCCATCTCTCCAAAAAAGATTCTTTTTTTTTTTTTCTTTTTTCATGCGCAGATTCAAATTTTGTTGTAGATTCAAATTTTGTATATATATATTAAAAAGATCATAAAAAATTTCACCAAATAGGATTTAGTTTGCAAAACAAGAATTACAGACCTTGATTAGTTGATTTAGAAAAAAAAAAAAAAAAATTAAAACAAAACCCATACATACATTTAGCAGTCTGCCTAGAGAAAGACAGCGGACCAGCGACTGATGCTTGTGAACGGCGAACCCGAACTGGAACAACGGGCGATGGAAACTGAAAGATATGGGTTTTGATTTTTTGAACAATCTGAAATGATATGCCGATATGGGTTTTCAACTTTTGATTTTTGCAGACAGATAGATAAACTGAAATATATGGGTTTTGAACTTCTGATTCTTGTAGATTTTGTGAAAGAGATGGGGGGAGGGGGGGGGGGGAGTTCAGAGTTAAGAACGAGTATAGAGATGGAGGCGATTGGGGAGGATTAAATGATTTGCCCTAAAATGATCTGCAGGTTTGGGGAGTAAAAGTGAATTTAACGGTTGAAAATGGCTATCTAAGTGTTTTTCAGGAGTAGTATCCAACGGTTGAATATTTGTTTAGTTGTGTTTTCTTAATTAGTGTGGACGGCTAGGATTGACCTTGGAGTTATAAGTCAGATCATGAAGCTTGAATGTTTAATTCTTATTAGTCTAAAATTTTACCACTTTATGTGAAGTAAAAACTATGATTGAGTAAGATTTATTATTTCCTTAAAATGCAAATTACAATAAACTGGCACGTTAAGAATAATTTTAGGGGTTAAGTCCATTAAACTCCCTTAGACTTTCTTCTCTTTTTCAAAAAAATCCCTGAACTATCAAAAAAGACACTTTATCCCCTAAACTATTCTATTAGTTGCAAACTGTTAATTGACGGACCAAACTTTAACGTCCATAAGCACGTGACATACACTTGATTAAGCAAAAATTTAGAATGACAAAATTAGCTTTATGACTATTAAATAAATATTATATAGGAATAATGTATATATACGTATATATATATCGCTGCATCTGCCGTCCTCTCTCTCTCCAACAACCTTTACCATCTGTCCATGGCCAACACCACCACCGACGGTTTATGGCTCCACCACCACCGCTCTCCCTTCTCCCACAAAGATGCTTCTTCCCTCAGAACAACCTCCAGCTCCACCATCCATGGTTGCCGCCAGTCCCTCTCTCTCCAATCTACCTCCCTCTCTTTTTTATTTCACTTTTTAACCTCCAACTCCGACGATGACACGGCAACCAATTCGTCAACGGTGTCGAGAAAGGCAGAGGCGTCGGTGAATTTGCAATATCGTCTCTAATTTGAATTTGCATGATTGTACACAGAGAGCTACTACAATATACACATATAGTCCTCTCTTAAACCTCCACTCTTCTTGTAAATTTCCGTTCTTTGTTCCTTGTTATTGCTTATTTGAATCACTTGCTCTCTCTACTCTCTCTCTTTCTAGGAATCCCTCTATGTTTTGGTTGATCTTGGTTGGTATTCAATATGCCCTTCCCTTAATTGTTTTTCCAATCATGTTATTTTTTTTTTTTCCTAATTTTTCCAATCATGTTATTATAATACAAAGCTTGAATTTTTTAGTTGATTGAAGTTTTAATGATCTGGGTATTCTTCAATTGGGTTGGATCTGTTGATAAATGTGTTTAATTTTCATCTTAAGTGCCGAGCGGTGATGGCGTCCATGGATGGGGAAGAAGCAAATTTGTTTAAATATATATATATTATCTGCAAATATAAACAAGTATTTTTAATATGTTTAAATTAGTAATTGAGGAGGGAATTGTTTTTTTTTTTTTTTTTTTTTTTTTTTGGTACCCTCAGCAAAATTATTGATTAAGATAGGATGAGTTGTCAAATTTTGATTTGATATAGGGATTACAAGTGCCACATCAATATAAAGTGATGAAACGACATAGTTTAACTAATGGACAGGATGGCAATTTCATTTCTTAGTTAACGGTTGTTTGACGGTGTGACGGTAAATTGCAACACTTTTATAGTTTATGGGGGTATTTTTTAGTTCAAGGGTTTTCTACAATCTGGTCATAGTTAAGTGGGGAGCACAGTATCTCTCTAACCACTTATCATCGATGGGCCCATAAATTTTGAGCCCTAGGCGACCTTATTGATATTGAATTGTTTTGGCAGGCAAAATAATAATAAATACACATGGCATTGCCAAAAATACTAAAAATCAATTGTTAAATGAGGATTAATTGAAAATATAATAATGTGTTACTTCGCATGTTTTTCATCTCTAACGAGAGTACAAGTTAAGTCGCATAATTCTTCTCAATGAGTGCTACTCTTACGTTCTTCTTAATGAGTGCTACTCTTACGTTTTGAGTGCGCTTCCGCTCTCACGTTCCGTGCATGCTCTCGTTCTTTTTTTTTAACTATTTGTGACTTAATTTTGCCGCACTCGCTATATGTGACTTAGCACAAGTATCCTCTTTACAACTTTTTCTTCTCATTCATCGATAAAATATGATATGGTTATTCTAAAATTTCAACTTAAATATGTATCATTACTACTCTTATTTGTTTCTATAAAATACGTCTCTTTTCTCTTATTTTTCTATTTTTCATAGTCCATTTCTTTATCTTTTTAGTTTTCCATTTATGGTTGTATCATCATCTTTTTTTTTTTCTTCTTCTTCTTCTTCTTTTTTTCACATCAAGTTTCATGGTACTCAAATATAACTATATAAGAATTTGATTTGTACAAATTCTACAACAAAAATTACAATGTTTTTTTTACAAATTTTCAATACTTTGATTTTTTTTTTAAAAAAATCATTTCCTTATTTTTGTTTCTGGATCAGATAGATCATTAACTTTGATCATTATAACAATTAACACATGTCTATCAAAGTAAATGATGTATATTAATGATCAAAGACACAATGTTTTATGTCAAGAGTTCTTACAGAGATGCAATGTGATGGATATATATATATAATATATACACAATTTGATATACATGGTAATTGAAACTTTAATTGTCAGCAAAAACTTGGGGTGCAACTTGATTTGGGAAACCCGAACCCAACCCAAGCCCAGCTCGAACTTTTATAGGCTTGGGTAATCATTTTTACAATTAGGGTTGAACACTACCGCTCATTGCTCATTGTGACTTAGGTTTTTATCATTTCCTAAAACTTTTGGCATGAATAACCATGGACTAAGCTCTCTATAAAAGATAATATTTCTTTTTTTCTCTTGAAACTAATAACTTCGTAATATTTAATTTCAGTAACACTTTCCATCTTACCTTTCAAAGCCTAAGAGCAATTGGGATATATATACATATCCTTCTTCGATTATTAGAGATTTAGAGGTACATGGAATTTCTGAGATAAGAGCTAGCATCTTCATTGTCAAGTTAAGAGTTTTTATTTTTATTTTTTTGGGTCAAGCAATTTGTATATATTGGTGTAATAATGTACAGTGGTGGGCACAGGCCGAAAATAAAAAGGCTATTGAGCCCAAGTAAGTCCAATAGATAAAGCTGGAGTGTTGGATCACCAAAGTCCCAGGGATCAAGCGATGCGCCCAATTCAAAGCCCAAAACCCAACTCAGTTTAGATCATAGATTTGTTTTGATTGGTTAATTTTCTATGTCAAATATTTTTTTTGAAAAATATTTTTCTATTTCAGGTAAAATATTATTTTATTTTTAATTTTTTGGTATTTGACAAAAGTCAACGTTGAATTTGAGGTTGAGTCCATCGGGCAAGACATGTAAAATAACTTGTCGAAAATGGATGAATAAGTTATTTTTGTTAAATTTTAATATTTGTTTTCTTCGTAAATATTTTAAGACAACCAAACACCAGAAAATAAAAATATATATATTTTCTAAAAAAAATTTTACATCTAAACAAACTGACCTTATATGTTTGTTTATTTTTTTCTTTCTTTTGAAATGGTTTCCACCTTATATGTTGTTTTGTTGCTTTATTCATTTTTCTTGTGAATAATTTAGTAAGCTACAGTGTTCTACAAGATCCATACTCTTTTTTCCTCAAAAGTGAACTATGGCTTTAATTTTTCTCAAAAGTGAAAGAAATTGTGGCAGAGATAGAAATTTTAAATTATTAGTTTTAAAGTCCTTATTTGAATGGAAAAGAGTGAATGAAGGTTTTAAATCCTCTTTAAAAAAATTTTAAAAGGTTGTGAAGCTCTAATTACACATACCAAATCCACTTAACCATATGTGTTATTTTCAAATCTATATAATGTACAAGTATTGTTTGAGCTTTCTATCTATTTTTTATTTTATTTTTTTAGTTTTAAATTGAGTTCTTTTAAAAGACACTAATTCCAAAATCTTAACACAAAAGATGAAGTAAATAATTATGCCAAGTAACTTAAACTTTATTTTCTTAGTTTTGGTACTTATTTTTCCCTTTAGGTGTTCTATTTTCTAAGGCAGCAAGGAAGGTGATGTAGTTGTCTTCTCATTTTTGTAACTCGGAAATTCAAGCAATGGCAAATTTATTTACTGAAAGAAGAAAAAATAAATAAAAATAAAAAATTGAAAGAAATTATTTAACTGAGAAATGGCAGGAAAACGTGCCAAAAAGTGCAAAATGAATAAGGCTTCCCATCTCCTTGAGAGTCTATGCACCTGATCTAGTTATTTGCATGAACAATTCTTTTTCTCTTTTATTTATTTATTTTTTGTCAATTTTATTCAGTATAAGATCCAAAATTTTGGTTTACATTAATCCAAAAAGGTTCCCTCCAAAAGAATATCAAGTTTATGAGCATAATCAAATACTGTGCATCAAATGATAGAAGTGACAACAAAAAAGAATAATGGTCCTATTATAACAAAAGGATTTGGAAAGCAAAAAAATTATGGGGAAATAATATATTAATGTAAAATGCATCCAGTAAATTTTCATAATTTGCTGCTGGTGGCTCTAAGTTGCAGTCTGCAACTTCCAAACTTCCCTACCAGCTTCCAAAAACACAAACAAAAGACATTTTCCCACAACTATGGAAATGCACAAAAGACATTTTCCCACAACTATGGAAATGCTTCTCGCTGTTTTGTGGGTAGCTCTAGTTCGGGCTCTACTTCACTCAGAGGAGAAAAATACTGATCCACCATGTCTTTTGATACTTGTTCCAAGCTTGGAGGGTCCCACTGCATATTTCGAATGTCTAAAAATGTCAATTTCACACAAAATTATACTAATGTTATGTTTGGGAACACTGAATCGATGACTTGAATTTGGAATTGTAGGAAATTTAGTTCAAACTTTGTACTAAAATTTCTCCAATCCCAAATCCATAGTGCCGATTCAGTGCATAGCATATATGGGAAATAAAGGTTGCAAAACTACCCTAGAGGATTTCAAAAATCAAATGAGAAAAGCTTCCTATCGCAGGGCACCGGCACTTTGATCTCTCCGGGATCACTTTTACCATCCAAAAGATGGGAGTTCATCATTTAATTTTCTGAAGTCAGTTTGGCAATACAATCTAAATTGATGATACCTTTGGAGCGAGGTCCTTTTCCACCATTCGTGCCCGGACACCCTAATGAGGTAATATAGAGGAACAAAAATTTAGAAACAACTATCAAGAGATTCTACCCCAATCACATGAGAATTAAGAAATAATATACCTCACAGAAGTCATTGGATATCTGTCTAGAAATTCCTTGTAGGGACATTTGGTACTCGCGGACCAGGCACTGGTCAAGAGTTTGAAATCTCCCTTCTCGTATCTGTACCAGATCTTAAAAAAAAGTGTGACATCATGATTCAAAGTGATTTTATAGAATTTAACCCACATAAACAACTAGAAGGGACTCACGGATCTCAAGGAAACCTTCAAGCTCAATGGTGAGGCGTATTTGAGATTCTTTAAAGCTGAAATGCACCAGTCTTCTTGAGTTCTCGCTGCCTCACTTTCCTGAGAAAATTTGTTATTTAAAAAACATTACTTCAAACATTAAAACCATTCCTTCAACTAGGAGAAAATATATATATATATATATCTATTCATTCAAAAATTTTGTCTCTCTTCTTTTTCTTTTTGGTAGGTGTGAGGTGTAATTTCAAATATCATCCTCACTATTTCCTTGGGCTTTGTCAAACTTATATGGTGCTGGAGCATAATGCTATAAGCTCTCCATGAGAAACTAAACAAAAATTTCTCTTGAAATTGGAAAAAGTTTGCAGAGTACTAATGCTTACCAGAGCATCAATGATTTCTTCAACTGTGGCATGGCCAAAACATTTGTTAAGGGTTTCGATCCTAAGCAAATGAGAGAGAGTAAAGAATCAGCTAAGTAAAGACACAGATAAATTATTAAGAAAAGATGTTCCAATCAAGTAGGAAACAATGTAGATTACTTAATTTAATTAATCATGGTTTGCCTGAATATTGTTGAAAACAAAAGCTCTTTGAAATGGAGGTGTCATATGGCTTGAGTCAACCCAGAAGAATTGCAAGGGCAAATGAAATATATTGAAGTATTACAATTACAAGTCAACTGGACACAGAGATGTCTAAAATGATTCAAAGATATTGAATTACATATAAGTTTCGCATGTGAGATGTATAATAATGATGAAGTGGATTGAACCAAAAGATCGAACCACCAATCAAAAGGAGATAATTAACCTTAAAATTCAATACAGTGAGTGTTCCATTTATGTATAAGAGTGAACCCCCTCATGTTTAAGAGATAATTTGTGGATTATTTGGAGTCAATTGAGTCAGGAACCACTTTGCACAGTCAATGATTAGGTAATTATGATGAAGCATTTGGATGTTCCATGAAGTTGAAATTAATTCCATTAATTTTCCGGAATATTTGAAGGCAGATTATCACTCAGAATGGAATACAAATATAGAATGAAATCACTATACATCATCGTGAAAAACAATAATAATAATTTTTTTTTAAAATGTAAATGATTCAAATTAAAGCAAATCGTGAGTGCTAAAAGAATTGTGTGTTTGTTGGTTGGGAGAACAAAATCAATTCAAACCATCCGTAAAACATAATGGAATGATTTCAATCCCACAAGATGTCCAACCACCCCTCAACTTTACCACCTTCTGAAATAATATGTCAAAGCATCCTTCAGTAACTCATTTTGCCTGTTGCAACCTCTACAAGAAATTTCCTTATGATTGAAGTCAAATGTGATAATCCAATAGTGTCCAACGATGATGCTCTAATTGGAACTATAAGCCAATAACAGCGAGAGAGAGAGAGAGAGCAGCGGTACTATTTAAGTTAAAAAAATAAAACATACAGGTCTCAAAAGGAACAAACACTTGAAGTCATTACTCAAAGGAAAACGAAAAAAATAAAATAAAAATAAAGATACCTGTGAAGTACACTCATACTATCGGGAAAGTCAAGATCTCCAAATTCTTCTAAAGAAGTTTCAACAACAGATGGATCATCAGTTACCAATTTTCCAAGTTGCTCTTCGATTAAAGGAATCCTCTGCAAAGGAGGAAGAACAAAGACATTATTGCAATATTGCCCTGAGAAACAAACATACAGCAGCTACAAAGACGAAGATCCAAGATAACTAACTGCACTGAGTGAATAGTGTGTAGCAATTCCACAGCCAAGCAATTCGGCTCCAATGAGTTTTTCTCCCGTGAGAGCCAAATACTCCCCTGCAAACAAGAATGCGCATTATATTATAACCATATGGGCATTACAATAATTTCATTAATTAACCAACCACTTGGCCTAGCTAATTGGGACACCAAATTAACAAATTATATTCTCTCAAAGAGTTTTCACTAAATAAGTATTATATAATGGAAAACCATGTCTTCTAACATCACCAAGCTTTATGGCTTACCAGCTTTCTGAAGCAACCTCGAGTAGCACTAAAAATACTGCAGCTCAATTTAGAAAGTGTCATCTAACATGCTAAGCAATAACAAGAACTCCCATTTATAGATTATTCCATGTCAAACATTATTCATTTATTTTGAAAAAAAAAAAGATCCACTAAAGAGCACCCGAGGAAGCACAGCAGAGTACACATGAAGTACTACAATAGGACCCTCCAAAGCAAGCTAACATCCTTCCATAGGCAAACATCCCCCAGCAAATCTAGAAAAAATCAACAAATAGGAGTCCTTTCCTGGCATCCACTAGAAAGGAGAACAAAGTGTGGATATATCAAATATTTATGCATGTTGAAGTATGATGACACAGCATATCAACATGGCATATCAGATTCTTTGAAGGTTGCCAAAGGCAATTCCACATACAGGTGTCATCCTTCTTATTAGATAAAGTGTTTGGGAACAACTTCAGGGAGAAATATCTTCTCAGTTCTTTTTAGTAAACTCTAGATTTGGTTGTGAATCAATTAATCGAGTGATCCTAAAATTCAAGAAGCTATGCGCTTCTGGGGAAATGTTAAAGTAGCAAACTCAATCATTAAAACTAATATGTACTGTATTACAGAAGAACATGGCAAAGCATTTACATATACATTTTTCTTTTTCTTTTTACGAAAATAAGCAAATTCAATAGGGGTCATATTTTCTTAAAATTGCTTCCAAGCGCCGTTTGGGAAGAAAATAAAGATAAACTGGGAGATTTTAGCAAAAGAGCAGCACATGATGTGAACTCACAAGAACAAGATCCCAACAAATGGCCCTTATCCTGGATTTATGGAGGTAGAAAGTCGTGAAAGGAATCTAAATAAGATTTCCAGTCATCTCTCTCCAAATCATACAACAATAGAATTCTAATAATTAATTTCCAAGAATATATAGCAATTAAAACAAGCTAACTATATTCATCGAAAAGTAAAATGAAATAAATCAAACAAGCTAACTGTGCAAAGAAACAAAACAAATTTGCACACATAAAAAAACTTACCTAAGTAACCAGGTAGATGTGAAAGGTGAAAAGATGCACCAGCATCAGGATGGAAACCAATTAAAGTTTCAGGGGTAGCAAAAACCTGCACTTTACACCTCTCTATTAATATAGACAATAAAATAAGTTCAAATCGAAACATAAAAAACCAATGTTTCAAGGGTAAAAACCATTAGTTTTTTTATTTGATCACCTTCTTGCCAGAAAGGCAAGGGGGCACTTCTATTGATTCTACAAAAGAAATCAGACTGGAACAAGCATAAAACCCACTCTTGATTTGACCACCTTCTTTCCAGAAAGGCAAGGGTGGCACTTCTATTGCTTCCACAAAAGAAATCAAGCAAGCAGAAGAAGTGACGGACAAATCTTAAACAGTTAAACCTAATGAACAAGAAGATAAGAAGATCATAGCGAATGTGGAGTGCTGGAATGGTTGGACAAACAGAGGCCACATTTTTGGCATAAATTTGTGCAAAGTGGTTGCTCTCACTCACATTTCCACCCGCATTCTCCACTTGCTGCCAGAAGTTTTATCATTACAGCAAGCAATGGGCCATTGGGCCCTACAAATAATGTACTTTTTTTTTTTTGGTTTGTATTTAAGCAAGCACAAGTTACAAGTTAAGGAACCATATCACAAAAGAGGATTTCTTTTTTATCAGAAAGGGTAGACAAGTTACTCAAGTAACTGTTGACCTTTTTTTATTTTTTTTTTTCCAGCATTCGTTGTAAAGTTAAAATAGAATCACTGCAGCTACAAAAAAAGTTCACAGATTTTTATCCGCATACTAAGGATCTTGTAAACACAAAAAGCAGAAGCTTTAACACTAATAAAAGGGTGTTGCTGCAAATGTTCATGTTTGCATCACAAAACAATATGATTTATTGACGTAAACATAAAATTTGTGTCCTTGCATGGAAACAAGGAATAAAAAGGATATTCCACAAAACCTACACATTACACATTTACTTATGCTTGACTCCTAAACCATAAAATCTACACATTACACATTTACTTATGTTTCTACGTGTTTATTTGAATTACAACTGAGATTTTTTTGTTGATTAATTTTTTTTGTTTGACTTCCAAAAAAAATACATGAATTTTACACCTTGCCGATGAAACCCGGACAACTCAACAATGTCTTAGCCTTCAAAAAAAATTCATATAAACTTTTCTCCAAATCACTGCATAAAGCATGTAACTCATATAGGGTTCAGATATTAGACACAACCAAGTTCAAAGTATATACGAAATAACCACACTGTTAAATAATCAAAAACTTTCTCAAAAGAGAAGAAATAAAAGAAAACCAGAAATGGACAACAAAAATTAGAACAACTATCAAACCAACATTTGACATTAAGGGGAAAAAAGGAACAGTGATCACACAGGTGTCTGGTACATACAGATTTATCAGTTGCGACCCTGAATGTCCCAGGTATTGAAATTCCAGTCCCACCGCCCATGGTAATCCCATTCAAAATAGCCACCTACATGGAGATCAAAATGCACCACCTTAATTATAATTATTGAAAGAGTTTTATTGAACAGATAAAATGGAAAAAATGTCAATCCATTCTCCCAAAAAACATTCCGAAAGGTTATTCTCCCAAATTTAACACAACTAATAAACATTAATTTGTATGTTCCCTACCCAACCTCAAAAGATAATGTTAATGAATTTTACAGTACTAAGTAGCTCATTCATTGAAAAGCAACAAGTACAGATCAGTTGTTTATTGCTTGTACAGGGAAGAATAACACACAGGTCAGTGTTTATTCATTATATAGGACAATAACTTTTCAAAGTATCAAAAGAATGAAACTCTTTAACAGTCTCGTAGAGGAAGATGTGACTAAAAGTTCAGTGGTTGATGCCTATCTGTTGCAGCCCTCCTACTTTATGTGAAATTGGGACTGATTCAAAGAATGACAAGATGCTGAATATGACGAAAGCAGAGATTCTATGACAACGATTCTGTTGTTGACAATAATCACAGGCATCCACATATCAAGAATTTCATGTTAAATTTTTTATATACGATCACATCAAATCAATAATTTATGAATGGTATTAGTAAGAACACCATACTCAAAAACCAACTGCATATTTCAACCTTAAAGGCATTTACATAACAAATACTCACATGTGGCTTCAAATATGTACCCACAACGTATATAAAACTATACAACGTTCTAAAAAAATCCTTACAATCTTCTATATTCCCTGCACAGTGTGAAACAATGATTATATGATTGTTAATAAACAAGCACCAATTTAAGTAATTCAAATAAACAAAATCAAGATAATGTAATAAAAAATGAAGCATCTAATAATTACTTTTGATGAAAAGGCATCTATCATCTCCATACAGAGAACACAAATAGAAGTGTTGATACACAACATGGAAGCACTACAAGAAAATAATATGAACTGTGAAGTCCTGAAGCATAGAAGATGTTTGAAAAGTTAAAAGAAAATAGTTGTGAGATATTTCCTTGTCATGCAAGAAAACTTTTCAATAAATAAAGTCATAATGTCCCACTACAATAGGAAAAAAAAAACAAAGGAACGTGAATAGAAGGAAGAGAAATAGACTATTTAATTGGGATTCTTGAGGGTCACGCATATAAAAAATATATACGTGTATATTCAGTATTTCTGCAAGCATATACAACTTCAAGCATTGTTTAATCTTCATTACCAATAATCAGATGCTGTCGAAATTTAATTATAATCAATGCTAAAATACTGTACTAGTTTTAGGCAATGCATAAATGTTTACGCTCTTTCTCTGGTATGGATTATTAAGCATGAAGCCCATAGTATGCTAGATTAGTTATGAGCATGGCCTTTTAAATAGGCCAAATGTACAGACATAGATATACAGACATCGATCTTGTGGTGCTAAGGGGCTGCTTGGGGAACCCAAGAACCATGTCAGACATGGACAAGTATAACTGGTTTTCTGGTGGAATCCATTCGGTAAATTCATTTTCAAGTTGCCACAAAAATAAGTCAGAAAAAAAAAAAAAAAAAAAAAAAAGGGAGCTCCTCAAACCAACTATCCATTAGTTCTTTATTCCTGCAAACCAAATAATAAAATAAGGAACAGTCTTGACTGAAACACTCCTTATTATTCCCAAACAGACCCTGAGTTAGCCAAGCCAATCTACTGACCGTTGTATAATCCTTCCTCTCTACCAAATATTATATAACACTCCAGCTGCCCTTCTCCATCCTCCAATTCTGAAAGAAATTTCCTCTCAAATCTCTTCATCCTTTTGAATCATTAATCCTAGATAACAATAAGTGGTCAATTTTGGCATCTACTGCTCAAGATTCATTGTTCCCCTATTTCTTCTTCTCGATTTATTATAGTTTGCCTTATTCTTGCTAGTCCTAATAGCTTTAGATTCTGCACCACGACCTTCACCTAGTTTCATTTCCTAAATTCTAATCTTAACAAACATAATTTTATAAGAGCATTTCATCACCCTTTAATTCGATGTGGAGCTATTTTTCTTTGAACGATCAACAAATACAAGGAAATTAAGTATGAAATGTAAGCTTAACTGAACAAAAGTAAATAAAACTGGATTCAAAGTAATTTTCTGTGTGATTCTAATAATTAACAGTTTTTTTTTTTTTTCAATAGGTTCAACCCCATACCTTCATTTATCGAATGATATAGAGAGACAATATTACCACCAGCACAAAATGCCCGGCCACTGCCCTTCAAAAATTCAAAACTATGCATAAGTTGCTTCTAAGCAAAAATAATAAGAATATGTAAACCGATAAGAAAATAATTATAACAATAGAAATGTATGAATGAGCGGAAAACAAACAACGAAATCATCACAGAAAAGTTACCTTCAGTACTACAAAACCAATATCTGAGTTATCTTCCCAACATTTGTACAAATGTAGCAACCTAGCCCCCTGAGCACCATGAATAAGGAGCTTATGGCACAAAATTTATATTTTAAATAATGGGTATCAATCAAACTCCAAGATAACAAACACCAATATGCTAAAATTCTCAATCAGAAACTTTGAGAATAAAACAGGCTAAAATACATATTTATATGAAATTCTGTTACAAAATACCTAAAGAACATACACTAATATATATACATAGGGGAAAGAAACGCACCATTGCAGTATTGAGGGAATTGAGAACCGAGGGTCTATTAAGTATTGCAGTTCTGGAACTAGCTTTGGCTTCAACTAGTACCTGAAATGAGTTTGAGCGAAAGGGTTCAGAGAGGAAGCGAAATTGAAGCTTAATTATGGAAGAAAAAGAAAAGGGCTATGTGAAATTCACTATGTCTTCGGGATCATCGCTAAGGGCACTATTGGAATGAAAGGCAAAGCTTCTTTGATGAGGAATGAAGCGACGACTGCGAAGACAACGCCTGATTAGCGAGGCAGCCTTGAAGCTTTGCATCTCTTTCTACTTTCTCTCTCTAAAATCTTTCTCAAGTACGGCTCTGGCCCAACTTCCGACTGAAGATTGAAGATGGTTAGTTCTCTGGAAATTGCTTCAACAGAAGAAAAGAACCAAGGAGAAGAAAATAGAATGCGATAAATAAGCATTTGACTGTCTAAGAAAAACATTTCTAGAGAAAATGCACAAGTCGATTATAAATTATAAATAAAGGTAAAGTGCACATAATTCTTCCCATATATAAAAAAGTGTGCACAAAATAGTTACTATATTAATTTTTTTTTTTTTTTTTTTTTTTTTTTTTTTTTTTTGGGTAAATTGCATTGAAACCCAGCGTCACTGCAATGGGATCAAATATTTTTTTTATTCAAATGTCATATTTATCCTAATTATTTAATTCAATTAATTTACAAAATATCGGTGATAAAATTACCCACTCATTATTAAGTATCTTACTCTACTCTAATCTTTAACTTTATTTTATTTATTTTTTTAGGACATCGTAGTAACTAGCCGCTGACATTCCCCCTCTCTCTCCCCCATCTTGGACATGGCTGTTTTTATTTTTTATTTTCTACTCTGGTGGTGATTGTTGTAGTGTGGTTTGGGTGTGGTTATGATGGTGTCTGGATTATCAGGATGTTTCAATATTTTTTTTTTTTTTTTTTTTTTCTATTGGGGTGGTGCCGGTGGTTCTGATAGCATCTGAGTGTGTTAGTGATGTTGTCTTGGTGTGGTAGTGATAACTCTGGTGGCGTTTGGAATATTTAAGTAAGGGTTGGTCATGATTTTTCAATTTTTTTTTTTCTACTGTGGCGGTGGTGGTTCTAGTGGTGTTTGGGTGTGGTGATAGTAGTTATGGTGATGTACAGTTATCTAGTTATTTCTAAAAATAAAAATAAAAAATTATTTTTTATTTTTATGTTGTGGTGGTGGTTATGGTGGTATAAGTATTATTATATATAAGATTAAGAGTTAGTTTGGTTCATTAAATTTAATTAGGAGGTTAACTTTATAATTTCATTATTTAAATAAAATTGTTGACAAGTCAAACACTTAAAAAGTAATTTTATATTATTTTAGAGGTCTGGAGGAGTATCAATGCACATTTTTTAAATCTAAAGGGTGTCAATGTAAACAAAGCCATTGACCGACGACTGAGTGGCGTTGACTAAAACCTCAGGAGATGTCAGTGCAATTTACCTTAATTTTGTTTTTAAATGCAAATACTATATTAATATAATTTATTGCATTAAATATAGTAGTATACATATTATATATTATATAAATTTAAGGACAAAAAACAAAAAAAAAACCCTCGACTTGTAACATTTTCCAGTAAATCCCCTGTTTATTTTTTTACCAAAAAACCCCTTCGACTTATAGCCTTTTTCCAATAAATCCTCCTTATCTAATTTTTAACTAAAGAACCCCCCTCAACTATCTGAATGGAGTACAAGAGTTGATATTCGGACCAAAATGCCCTTTTATTTAAATTTTAATTCTCCTGAACTGCAAAAATTCATATCTTACAAACAGTACATTTAAAATTTGTAAATGATATATGCACATAAAGCTTATGAAATAAGGATTTAAGAAATATAAGATTTGTACAAAAAAACTTTCATAACCAGACAGAAATAGGTAATCTAAAAATCTACTCCAATAATCTTATTTTATTTTAAAAAAATAAAAATGCTAGAGATATTTGTAAGAAAAGTTTCAGAATTATTCATTTACATGTGGAGCCGAATATATAAAAAATTTAGCCCTAACAGAGATCGATTTCATGAGATATCATATTTTGCATCAAAGTATTTTCATTCTTTTATAGATTCACAATTTAAAAAAAAAAAAATGAATATTCGGTCTCTCCCGGGGCTAATTTTTTTATATGTTATACTCCATATGAAAATGAATAATTCTGAAAATTTTCTTACAAATAACCCGAGTATTTTATAAAAAATAAAATAAAAATATGATTATTGCAGTAAATTTTTAGATTGTTTATTTCTCTTTGGTTATGAAGATTTGTTATATTTCTGGAATTATTGTTTTATAAGCTTTTTGTGAATATATATTATTTACAATATTTGGATGTACGGTTTGTAAGATATGAATTTTTGAAATTCGATAAAATTAAGATTTAAATAAAATGGTATTTTAGTCCAAATATCCACTATTTTACCCTCTAGATAGTTGAGTGGGGTTATTTGGTAAAAAATTAGACAAGGGGGATTTATTGGAAAGGGCTACAAGTCGAGGGGGTTTCTTTGGTAAAAAAAATAGATGAGGGGTTTATTGGAAAATGTTACAAGTTGAGAGGGGTTTTCCGTACCTTGCCCTAAATTTAACTAGGGGTGCACAGAAAAACCGTGGAACCGAACTGAGGCTTCGGTTTCGATTCTCACGGTTCCGGTCCCAGTTCTAAAAATTAGAAATCGTTCATTTACGATTCGGTTCTAGTTCCAGGCCCGTGGGAACCGAACCAAACCGGAACCGTATATATATATATATATAATTTGATTATATTATATATTTATATTTACTTGTATACTGTCAATATAGTACTATACTTTTAAATCAAATGGAAACTCTAAAAATAGAGGGAATGTAATTTACCCGAATAGTCCCATCTAAAATATATTTTGGTATTTATATTATATTAAATAAAGTATATTGTTTTCTTTATCTGTTTTATTTTTCATTTTTTAATAGTCCAAATCCTGCCATAATATGGTCATATACTAAAATATTATTTTTGTATACTGTTTTTTGGTATATACCAAGTTTTATCAAGACTATAATACCAACATATTATACTCATGTTGATGATATTATCTTGTTTGATCATGGAGGCTTATCTTCTGCCAACATTCTCAAAAGAGATTTGCATATTTTGAAGTCAGTAGCAATGCAACACGACTCATCTTCCTTAGTCAACGGTTCTGTGGAACCAAACCGTGCGGCTCGATTCCATATACACACAGTTCCAATTCTGGTTCCATTTTAAAGGAATCGTTGTGACCAGTTCCTAGTGGAACCGAACCGAATCATGTGCACCCCTAAATTTAACCTATAATATAATAGTTGCAATTTTATATATACCAATTTTACATAGATATAATTTAACACTGTAGTAAAAGATATTTATATATATTGCATAATATTAATATAACCCCCTTGTGATTGGTAAGGGTAAAAAAAAAAATTATAACCACATGTGATTTTTTTTTTTTTTCTAAATTTGAAGCAACTGATATATATACTATAAAGTAATTAGTACATGGTGGGCCTTTGCCAAAACAATCCAATATTGGGAAAAAACTTGTTGAAAAGGTAGACAAACAAGCCTAAAAGGGATAAACAAGGCCCAACCCAAACCTAAACAAAACTAATAACCGCAATTAAAGGGCTAATACCCATTAATGGTAGCTGTTGTTTCAAACATTCCGTTGACTAAAACCTAACCCTCCATTGGACGAGGACTGTGAGAAAGCTTAATCAGGCAGACGGCAGCAAGATGGCGAAAGGTTCCATTCAGTAAGGATAGAGAAACTGATAAATCCTTCAGAAACCCTAGTTTGAGGATTGAAGTAATGGTGGGGCAAATTTTTGTTAGAACGGCTCTCTAAGACTTCTTTTCTTGAAATATTCGATTATTACGTTCTTCCCGAGAGTGATACACCACAACTGAGAAACAAACTTTGCGAGCAGGTTTGCTGGAGAATTTAACTTCCGAGTGGTGATAATAAATTGCACTAAGTTTTTCCAATTTCGAATTGAAGAGTAAAAATGACTATTGTCACAAATGTATCTCCAAATTGGGGAGACGAAGCAGCAATTGAAGAATAGGTAATCATGAGATTCGGTTGAGATGTTACAGAGCCCACATATGTTCTGGTGTTGTGCCATGGATTTGCTATCCGGTGTAGGTAATCTTGATTGAATTGCCAACCATAGATTGAACTTCATATGTGGAATTGTGGAGGGATTGCGAAACCAAATTGTACCAAGGGACCTGAGCTAATTGGCCTATAAGGTAAAATGAGATATGTTTGAAGCTATAACAACATATGCTTGTTAGGATAAAATGCAAAAAAAAATATTTTTGTAGCATTGATATTGTGCATCTAGACCCAATTTTTTTTAATAAATATTGTGCCTAAAATCTCTTTGTAATATAAATATGGAAAATGTTATTTTTGACGACAAGTATATCCCGATAAAAAATCGACTTCCACTTGGCAACAGACTATTTACGTACAGCATTCTCTCTCTTCCTCTGCTCACAGTCATTCTCTCTCATGTGTTTTTCGACAATGGGCGAATGTCCGTTCTACGACGAAGTAGACTCTGGTAATGGACTGAAACGACACTAATGAACTATGACGATAGACTGAACTTTGAGTAAGAGTTAGCAGCGGCAAGGAAGAATTGCACCTGCGACATAGTAATTCCATCAATCTCTTCTGTTTCTGGCCATCACCAATTGCTTTGGTGGAACATAATATAAACTGGTGGAGAGAAAACAAATAAAAAAGGAAAAATTCCATTCTAGTCCTACTTTTTCCCCTGTGAAACAAAAATATAAGTTTGTAAACAAAATCAAAAGCAAAGCAGAGCACAAAATTCTTCTGAGATGATGCACAAAACAAAGGAATTGTTTCAAATCTCTCACACTAATTTTACATCATCATATACATACATGTTATACCTCTTAAATTAATGCTCATATTCATAGTACCTCTTTCATTCATTTCAATCTCCGATCATCCTTCTTCTTCTTCGCTAGCGACCATAGCGTCTGTTGATTCCCACGGCGATCTACTATGTGTTTGTGGAAGAACGAATTGACTGCGTCGGCGGGGTAGGAGGATTTGGTTTGGAAATAATTACAGATCGATCATCTTCATGGGCGAATCAATCTACAGCAATGACAATGATCGGCGGCAGTTAGAGTTGTGTTTGACAGTGACGATATAGTTTTCAGCGGTGGTATTTATCGTGGCACTCTGTAATTTTTGTGTTGAGAGAGATGATCGGCGGATGACGAGTTTTGTGCTATAGTTTCCGGCAGCCGCATTGGTTCTGGCACAATGCAATTTTATGTAGAGAAAGACATGGTTGTTGTACTGTACTAAGAGCATCCGAGGCGCAGTAAATGTAGAATGATAACGTGTCAGTTTAGAGAGAGAAAGGGGCGGTATGGTGAAAGAAATAGAGTGTTTTTTTTGTGGGACCTACACTCACTATCTATGCCATTGTCCACATACAGAGTTACGTTTGGAGAATACTCCATTTTTTTTTCTTTGTTTAAAGAATCTGATAGAAGGCAAAAAACCAAAAAGGCAGCTTCAATGGCTCAATTACTTCCAAACGGTCAATTACATTCAAATAGTAATAAAACGGTTATATTTTTAGCCTATAAATACTAAATTTCATCTTCAATAATTATCATCTTCATAATTTCTTTAAATTTCTTAACAAATCTAATCGAAACAAATAATTTTTAAAATATTGTTCATTCATCAGCAATATGAAAATTACATTTTATTCGATTACAATAAATTTAAGCATCTTCATTACCAAATTGATTCCACAAATGTTCCATGAGATCTTTCCTAAGATTTGCATTGTCAGATTTATTGCAAATCCCACTTAGGCAAGAGGAAATGTGTGCCGCCAACATTGATGGGTTTTGAACGTAATGTGAAAGAGAGATTGGGTCATCTGTCAGTGGTGTCCATTGCAAAATGTGTTCGCCCTCGTCTTCAATGATCATATTGTGTAATATGATGCACGTTCTCATTATCTTGTTTAGATCTTTTGTATTCCAATAAAGTACTGGTTGATGCGTTATAGCCCACCTCATCTGCAACACGCCGAACGCCCATTCTATATCCTTCCTAACAACTTCTTGTTTGTTAGCAAATAATTTCTCTTTGACAGTTGTTGGGTGCGGGATGGTTTGCATCAAAGTTGTCCACTTAGGATATATACCATTAGATAGGTAATACCCCATTGTACGTTGATGCCCATTCACCACGTAATTAATCGGAGGCATTGAACCATTGATCATGCTCTTGAATACTGGGGAATGATCAAGAACATTCAAGTCATTGTGTGAACCAGCCATACCAAAGAAAGCATGCCAGATCTACAGATTTTTCGATACAACGGCCTCCAATATGAGGGTAGGTTTATGGTTTCTTCCCCGTGTGCGTGCCATACCATGCCATGCTGCGGGGCAGTTTTTCCATTCCCAATGCATACAATCTATAGAGCCAAGCATAACTGGAAAACCTCTTTTTTCCCCTTCTCGAAGCAGACTTGCAATGTCGTCTGCATTTGGTGAGCATTGGTACTGCTCCGCATACACAACAATTATAGCATCACAAAACCTCTTCAAGCTTTCGATCGCAATGCGCTCAGAAATCTTTATATACTCGTCATAAAGATCAGCTGAAATTCCATATGCAAGTATACGGATTGCAGCAGTCCTCTTCTATATAGGAGTGAACCCCCATACGACCGAGGGCATCTGGTTTCTGGATGAACCATTCGTCATATGTTATAACACCGTTCAAAATGCGAAGAAACAACTCTCGTCGCATCCGAAACCTTCTACGAAATATGTTTGGTGGATAAATAGGATTTTCAGCAAAGTAATCTCGGAATAGCCGTTGTGCTGCCTCCTCTCGATCACGTTTAATATATTTTCTCTTACGAGGTTGAAAGAATGCTCGCACCCTATCAGGCGATAATAATATCCTCACATCGTTCATCCTTTTTCGATGGATTTCAAAAATATCTTCCCCATCTGAATCTGACGAATTTAATGGAGACATAGACTCAAAAACGGGTATATCTCGTGACGATGAAGCCATTGTTTTTTTTTTTTTTTTTGTATAAGAAATATGAAGACTCAAAGAATAGAGAATAGATTTGAGAATGCAAAGAAATGAACTTGATAATTGAAAGAAAATAAAATTGAAAAAAAATAGAATGAGTGGTTTATATAGAAATTGAAAGAACAGATAATGGACTTGAGAATGCAAAGAAATGGATTTCATAATTGAAAGAAGATAGAATGAGTGGTTTAGATAGAAATTGAAATATAGCCGTTGGGAATAAGACAAAAAATTATTAAATTCAAATTCAAATTCAAATTTTTTGTTTAATTTTTAAATTAAATTAATAAAATAATAAAAAAATAATAAATAGAGAATGAGATAATTGGGTTCCACATCATTGAACATATGGATAAAAAAAAAATAGAGTATCACATCATCACTTTTTAACTTACGTGGCACTATACTTTTTAAAAAGTAGATAGAGAAGCATGTATGCCCAGTTGCCCACACCATTTGCTTTAACAAGGGCAAAATTAAAAAAAAAATTAAAAAAAAACAAAAAAAAAAAACCCCATATTGTGATTTTAGTGGGCCATAGACACATCCATGTAGGAATCGATTTTTTGTCGAGTGTTTATTAATTGGGGGAAAATAGCAGCTCCCTATAAATATTGTATATATATACCTTATTCCTAAACAACAAAATGAAATGGTATGATTGTAATTGGAACACATGTTGGGCTTGGACCTAGAATGTTCGTAGGTGGTTTTCAATATGCGGGTTTTTGGCTACTGGGCTGGGGCCATTTATTCATGTCCCTTCACAATGCGAACTTTTAAACATAGTATACATTATGTATGACGTGATAATTTGATTTCTTAACCAATTAAAAATTCAACACTTTATTTTAAAGTGACAATCACAATGTTTTTTATTTTGAAAGTGGTAAGCACTTCCAATATTATCACTCCCTCATTAAATTAAAAAAAAAAAAATTTGCTATTTGAACTAATACAAGTTATATATATATATATATACAGTGACGTTTAAGTGCTCCTTGATGAGTAAGGAATAGTATACTCACTTTTAATCCTGGATCCTGACCTTAGAATATAATTTTACGGTAATTAATTAATCAGTTTTTTTTTAGGGAACTTGTTTCTTTTTTTATTACTATTATATATTATTATTAACCGGAAATGACAAAACTAGACATGTTTTTAATGAAAATAAACTAAAATAAAATTGGATAGGATTTTCTTGTATACGTATATAAAAATTATAATTAATAAAAAATTTCCAACGTCATCTATGTTTGTTCGGATCATTACCTTCCTTCTATATTTCAACCTTATGGTTGAACGGATTGGAAATAAAATTTTTTATTTTTTTTTTCTTTTGTATGCTTTGCGAATTCTCTCGCTGTATGAAGTAATTTTTTTTTTATGTTTTGGGAATTTCTTAATTAGCCTACTATACACAAGTTTGCTATTCATGTTGATTTCTGTTTGTTATTTTTTGATCCTGTTTTATTTTATTTTTTTCAGATGTAGTTACCTTCTATGTTTCAACCTTCTATGGTTGAAGGGATTGAAAATAATTTTATTTTTTTTAATTGGTATGTTTTGCGAATTCCCTGGATGAACAGGTAGGAAGGAATTTTTGTATAAGTAGAAAATAAAATCCTATCCAATTTAATTTTAGTTTATTTTCATTAAAAATATGTTAACTCAAAAAACTGATTAATTAATTATGTATGATTAAATTCTAAGGTCAGAATTAAAAATAAGTATATTACTCAATAAATATATATATATATATATATATATATATATATTACAAGAAATACACACGCCTTTTCGTTTGAAGGATACACATATGAAAATAATATTACAGCGGATACAAATTTTGCTATTTCCAATTTTGGTCGTAAGAATTATTGGTCAGAGGCCTTTTGAAATTTTGAACCATTTATCTTCTGTTCTAGAAGATGAGTACTAGTTACTCTATAAAAATAAAATCATTACATATCACATGTGAAAATCACAACAATTTGTAAAATTAACCAGTCATAAACTTTGGAATTATTTGGTAAATGCCTTAGTTTCTTTTCTTTCCCTACCCATTTCTTAGCAGCCAAACAGCTAATCCAACTAATAGACTACCATGGAGATCCTATGGAAACGAACTTCAATGGGATAGAGTTTTTGGCCTTTTAGTAACTGTAAAAGCTGCTCTCTCGTCACCCTTATCGCTATCCCCTCGTATTTCGGTACCTTCGATTCTCTCTTTCTCTCTCTCTCTCTCTCTCTATATATATATATATATGATCTTCTCTTTCTAATCACATCATCTCCCTACTGTCTCTCACACACACAAACACACAGTTTTGCAACAATGGCAAAAAATCCAGTTAGGGTTCTCGTCACCGGGGCAGCTGGTAATGTTATATATAAATATATATTCATGTATTTATATATATAAATATACATATGCGTATATGTATGTATATGTATAGTTGTTCTTTTCTTTGGAATGGAGATCTCATATTCCTGCATTGCTTGTGTATTTTGATTTTGATTTGGTATATGGTTGCCTTACAGTGAAGGTTTTGTTATTAAAATACGTTTATGTATACACACATAAATATTATATATTATATAAAGATGTATATATGTGTGTACGATCGTGGTAAACAGTCATCAGTCTTTGGGCTTATGAGAAATGGAGAATATTAATGTAGTGGTTGAGAAGATTGTTGTTGTTCTGGTTTGTGTATATTTGTCACGGAGTATCATTAGATACTTGCTGAGCTTCTTGAATGTAGAAAAGGAGCCAATCACAGTACTTATCACTGGTGCTGCAGGCATGTTCATTCAATAATCTCTTATCTTTTGCTGAATTTATTAATTTCTGATCTTAAAACTCTGTTATTGTTATTAATTGTGTGAATATTCATGTTTGAGTTGTGGTAGGCCTTTGAAATTACTAATTATATCCAATTCTAAATTATATGGGGTGTTGGCAAAATGGATCCTCCTCTGGTCTTATATTCATGTTCTTAACCAATTGATCCTTTGTCTATTTTTCATTTTTTATTTTTTTGTGTACTTTTTTCGGGTCTTACCCAAATAGGAGTAGCTTTAAATTGCTCTTTTTTTAAGCAGAATTTGGCAAACAGCCTATGATGGACTTTATAGTTTTTAGTCCAAATATTACAACATTCAATTTCCGGAATTTATTATGAATATCGGGTTGTCTTAGTTAGAAAAATACTGAAATTGCAAAATGGGGGATTATTTTAAGTGAAAAGTATTTTTACATCTGAAATTTCCCTCAGTTTGATCCAGGAATCCTATTGGCAATTGTAGGTGTTAGACTGGTCTTCTGTCATGGAAAATTCAAGAACCATAATTAATCTTGATTCTTTTTACATGGACTTTGTGAATCATTGTTGTGAATACTATTGATGTTGTTAATCATCTGGAATGTTCCTAAACAATGTGGATTGATAATATAAATTGGTTCAAATCCAGTCAAAACACTATTTGGAAAGGAGGAATCTAGTTGTTGGCAGAACTGTAGATACTAATTGATAGGAAAGTTTAAAAACATATCCATCTAAATTTGTTGATTCAAGTTAAGCATGCATATCTGACTTCAAAAGCTCGGAAATTTTTTTCGTGTCCTACTGCACCTGTTCTCATTGGGTGATGTAGAAATGTTCCACAGGGCAAATAGGCTATGCTCTTGTTCCGATGGTTGCTAGAGGTGTTATGCTAGGTCCAGATCAGCCTGTGATTCTACACATGCTTGATATTGGACCAGCAGCTGAGTCCTTGAATGGGGTAAAGATGGAATTGATCGATGCTGCCTTTCCTCTTCTTAGAGGTATGGCCTTTTAATTTAGAATGCAAGCTCAACATGATTCAATTGCTGTTGCTTCGGAACTTCTGTTGATGTTGCTGTTTTTATGGTTGAACAGGCGTTGTTGCCACCACGGATGTTGCTGAAGCTTGTAAAGGTGTCAACATTGCTGTCATGGTCGGTGGATTCCCGCGGAAGGAAGGAATGGAAAGGAAGGATGTGATGTCCAAAAATGTTTCAATTTACAAGGCCCAAGCCTCGGCCTTAGAGCAGCATGCTGCTCCAGATTGCAAGGTGAGATAGCCCTATTGGCAGTCCTCTGGATTCTTTCTTTCAGTTCCTTTTCACAAGTTATGGAATCTGAACATATGATCAGAAAGATGCTGTTGATGTTATCACCAGTCACACACACATACCGTATCTACTGCATTTTAGTAATCCCATTCGCATACAATATTAGCATGTGGTATGACTGAGGTTATGGCCTTAGATAGAGCGGAATGGAAATATAGGGTTCATGTAGCCGACCCTAAGTAGTTGGGAAAAAGGCTTGATTGTTGTTGTTGTTACATTCACATAAAATTCAATTGTTGTTACCTTCCAAAGGTTGATGGATGATAACCCCTAATCCTGACATTCATTGTCTTACTGTTAGAATTTAGAGATCAAACATATTTTTTACATAAAACAAACATATTTTTCATTTTATGTTAATGGATCATATGATTATTATTTATGCAGGTGTTGGTGGTTGCTAACCCAGCGAACACCAATGCACTCATCTTGAAAGAATTTGCCCCTTCAATCCCGGAGAAAAACATCACATGCCTCACAAGGCTTGATCATAACAGAGCCCTGGGCCAAATCTCAGAAAAGGTAAACGCCCATGTTGGTGATGTGAAGAATGTTATCATATGGGGCAATCACTCTTCAACTCAATATCCTGATGTCAATCACGCAACCGTGGGAGAGAAATCTGTCAGAGAACTCGTTGGCAATGATAATTGGTACCTCGAATATTCTGTATCTGCCTATGTGCATCTGTTTGAATCTTTGTTGTCTTGGAATAATAATGTTGCTCCATTCAAATGCTTTAGGTTGAATACCGAATTCATCACCACCGTGCAGCAGCGTGGTGCAGCTATCATCAAAGCTCGAAAGCTCTCTAGTGCACTATCTGCTGCAAGTTCTGCTTGTGATCACATACGCGATTGGGTTCTTGGCACTCCCAAGGTTGAATTTCTTCATTCAAAGCATTATCCTGTGAAATGATGTGTGTGTGTGTGTTTCCCTCTTTTCTATGCCATTATTTGCATCCATTTCTTCATTTGCTTTTGCTCCTTTTAATTCAGGGAACATGGGTGTCAATGGGAGTGTATTCTGACGGATCTTATGGAATCCAACCCGGTCTTGTTTACTCTTTCCCTGTTACTTGTGAGAAAGGAGAATGGTCAATCATGCAAGGTAAGTGAATGTTCTTCACAAACTGCTGCAACAATTGTCCATTTTATGCTTGAGCAAATGAATCCTTGGGGCTCAAAGTTGGCTACAGATACTTGATCATAGGAATATTATAGATCTTCTTTATCAGTTCTTTTCAGATCTCACCGATCAATTTGTCACCCAAAACAAATGGCGGACAAAAAAATGTGACATTTGACTATGTTCGCAGAGGGTTTGGGAATTGTGGGATTCGAATATTTTTGTATCCGGCAGGTTCACTTGATGAGTTTGAACCCTGCAGTTTATGAAGGATGATCTGCATTGTGTGCTGGCAAAATCAAGAATGAATGTTTATCATATATTCCAGTAGCATAGTATACCGTGATAAAATAGTACTAGTATTCTTTGTAAATGGAATGAAACTGATCCATCATTATGGAATGGCAGGGCTCAAGATCGACGAATTTTCTAGAGGGAAGATGGATGCCACTGCGAAAGAACTGATTGAGGAGAAATCATTGGCATATTCATGCCTCAATTGATGATGAGATGTGCTTTGGTATTTCTTTCGGAGAAAAATAAAAGAGGGATTTCATTGACCCAAAGAGATACAGTGATGGAATTTTTAGTTGCCTTGATAGTTTGATTATGTTGTTAATAAGCCTCCATTTGTTGTTGCAGTGCTCTGATTAGAGTTTCTAATCAACATATATCTCTAGCATATTGAATAGGAGATCAATTTCATGCTTGACTCAAGGATTGTTTTGTGGTGACTTGTTCTCTTATTTTAGATCATTTGATATTTATTTTCCATTTTTTTATAATAGTTATTTTCAGCTATTAGATTTTGGAGGGGATAAATACACTAAATCCAACAATAGTATAAATTGAATCATGATTAGCAATGCATTTTTTTTCTTTTCCCAGAAACTGCTAAGTGATTTACAAAGTAAGTGAACATTAGAAAAAGAGTTGTACTCTTGTTTTTGAAAGTAAAAGAGGGTTAGAGAATCATTGGAGCTTCCGATAAACTTGCCAAGAAAAAAGGAAAATGGAAAGAGAAAAAAAAAAAAAAAAAGAAGAAGAAAAAAACTACAACAATAACAGCAACAGACAATGGTAACGTTGTTATTTACCAAGTTCATCCAGTCTATTGAAAAATCACACCATGTTTTTTTGGTTTTGTTTTTTTGTATGGATCTCGAAACCTTGACTTTTGATAAACTCAAAATCACTTAGATAAAAGTAGATTGGTCATTTTTGACTTTTGAGTCATTGGGCGGGCTTGTTCCCGGTTCAAAGTGAACCGGGTCTGAACTTGGGTTGAAGTTGAAACAAAGATCGCAACTTTGCTTTTGTTTCTCTCTCATCATTCGCGTCAGCAAATAGTTCAATCTCCCTCATCAACGCTGACAACTGCTTGGTGAGTTTTCTTGCAATCGATTTAGTGTTGTTACCTGTCATTGTTGTTTGTGTATACGTTCTTAATGTTTCAATGTCATCCACCTGTTTGATACTTTGCGTCAACCAAATATACATATAACCATATAAGTCTTTGGAACCTTGATTTTTTATGGTATGTGAAAATGTATGAACTGAATCTGTATGGTTCATCAAAAAACAATATACCCAGATGGGGTTGAAGGCGAACAAGAGATTGTGGAGATAAGGCAGGGTATAATGGACCCTGCCATACCACCACTTAACCTGTCTTTGGGTTGATGATATATATGTATATGTGTTTATATATATGAATTTTATAGTGAATCGATGGTTATTGATATTGTTGTTGTTGATTACGAGTACCTTTTTCCCGAGTTACACATCTTCAAAGTTTTATATATTCATTTTTGTTTGTGGTGTAAAACCCTCTTTAATTTATTTTGAAATTTTAATAGGTGTTTCGATTAATAATGTATACTTTAACTCAACAAAGCATTTTCCCAACTACTTGGGGTTTCTCATTATGATTCGTATATTTCAATTTGTAATGTGTGTGATGCATACAAAATTTAAATGGATCACCTACGGACCAAATCCAACAAAGCTATAAACACAAACACACTCATCTGAACATACGTTCTTGGTTGCGGGATATGAATATGGCACAATGAGCACCTTGCTGTTCAGTCTGACATTTGGGGCCAAGTAGCTGACTGGTTTTTCAACTACCTCGTTCTGGACATGCTGGTTGACAAATGTTGGAAATATAGGATAAGGATACGATGGGGACAAAATAATGCAAAGACACAATTTAGATAATGAACATGTGTGTGTGTGTGATAGGAGAATGATAAGTTACTGACTCATCAAAATTCATTTGAGAAAAGTAAAGGTTATGTTACATGAACAGGGATTTAAGACTAATTATTTCGCCTCATTATATCACATTACTTCATTAAGTTAGAATTTAACAATTTAAAACTATCTACTCGTATATGGTTTTATTGACAATTGCACACGCTAATTGTATACTAGAAATGCTATATCCCCCTATGTTAAAGGCAAGTATACCAGACTCTGATAACTAGGGATTTTTGTTCAAGTAAAAATGTTTTTTCTCAAATATGGATGCATCTATTAGGTATTGAACATGTAATGGTAGTATATGAGAAGTTTTGGTTTCAAGTTAGGATATGATTTTTGTATATGATTTTTATTTTACGCAGGTGTACACATAAAGTTCTATATGAACTGCTGAATATATTGCAAGCTTAGTTTACAGTTCATCCTAATTGAAAGATGATTTCTATGATTATTTAGGTCATAAATGTAAAGGACTCAAATGGATGTCACAATGAAGCAATTCCAAGAAAGCTTACTTGAGGTTGAAACTGAAGCTGAAAATCTTCTGTTAGCCGGGCACCAGGTAATTGAAACCCAATTTTAAGACCATACTAAGTCACTTTCTGTTTTAAAAATTTACGAACTCTGTATTGTGAATGCAGCTGGTTGAAAATGATAGAGTGAGGAATGGGTAGAGGGAAGCGCTGACGACACTGAGGAATAGGGCGCGGACGACAAGAACAAGTATCCCTTCTCCTTTTGAGTGTATAATGAAGGAGATTGAGCGGGGTCGAATTGAGGCCTCTGGTGAAGGAGTTGCGTGCAACATGTGGCAACCATGACCTGAAGGAGAACACATGGATAATGTTCCCTGGAACTGACGTCTTTGTTAGGACTCCGTTCCATGCTGCTCACACCCTTTTGGCGAAAGGTTTTCTTTTGGACTCTTCTCTTTTAAATTTTTAACATGATACTTATATTTTGAGGTATCATAACATATTTGAAGCACTTAAATGAATACCAAAAATAAGCTATTTAGCATCTTATGGCGAAGATCTCAAGTTAACAAACCTTATCCTAATCTTACTGTTTGTTTTCACTCCACGAATAAGTTCAATGCATTAAATGTTGGTTTGGTGTGTTTTATTGGTTGGCAGGAAATAAAACATATTGAACACAGAACAAAGAAGCAGAAAATCTTGAAATGCATGGAAGTTAAAGAATATAAAGAACAAAACAGATTGAGATGTGGATAAAGGCTAATGAAGTATAAATTGACCATGGAGTTCTTAACAGAAACCCTCACCGGAAGACCTTACAGCAAAATTGGTAAAAAAAAAAGTGCTTTCCTGAACCAATATTTGTCTAAATAACAAATAATGACTAACAATTCTTACAACTCAGAAAAATGTGATAGATTAAGCATCAAGGTTCTCTGATCATGTCTTCAAATCATCAGCATAATTCATGTTATTTTATTTACTTAAATTCAATTATTGCCTTATCCTGAATGTTTGTGGCTGATGTTCAATTTGCTTCCAAGCAGTGGGTATCTGGTCAGCCTACATGTGTGCTGTATGACTTTGATTTACATATTGTAGATGTATTTGTATTCGGTTTATGACAGCTGTGCAACATGCCTCTTCTTTTTGTTGGGCCAGGGTGTATCCTGCTCATTCTAATCTCTAAGATGCACGTAATCATCTGAAAATCACATGCATTGGGTGAACTTGAAGAGAATTGAACTCCAGAAATCCTGTTCTCAAATACTTAAGGACACATATTTAACAAGTCTAAAATACTAAAGTGTAGGAAAAGTATTATATTGCATATTAGTTAAGAAAAGTGTAGAATTTTTTCAGAACAGAAGTGTTGAGATATATGCCATGACTAATTTAGTCCAAAATTTATCCATGCAATATATCTCTCAGCTTTCTGCTACTTTGTCATATTTTTTATAAACAAATGTTCTATAACATGAAAATAATATTTATTTAAATATATCTACAAATATATATTATGTTTTATACGTATCTTTATTAATATTATAATATACATTTCCACGCTCTTGACATTCTTTTTTTAAGACTTTTGCTTAGCACTGTGCCCATATCTTGTCATGACTGTATCCTGTATTTGTGTCCATGTTTCATAGGTCAAGGTAGTTTATTTTTCTTTGAAATTTTATAGCTTACTATTTTTTTCTTCCCAGGTCTATTAACTGGTCCCGAGTTTTGGTTTATCTCGTTTCAAAGTGTTTATGTTGGTAACAATGGAAAAAGTCTAGGTCATCTGGGATGTGGGTTTCTAGACTGTTGCAGAACTCAAGGTAACGATAACTCAGTGTTCTTGTCTTGGGGGTATTGTGAAGAGTTATAAATTGTATAAATTCTGTTCATAGAATGTGGCAAGATTTTCAGCTTGCTAAATAATACTCTTTATGATGTTTATAGGTGTCCAATAGCTGTTTGATGATCAAACACTACCATGTCTTTTAAGCATGCTTTCACTTTTATTGGAAGAATTTTGTATCTTAAGTTAATGGCTCGATGTGACCTTATGTATGCGGTGTGCGGCGCACCAAAGTCAGTGCCATGAAGGAGATCTATTTTGGCATTAACTTTTCACAAATGCTGATCTTTTAAGTTCCACAGGCGATTTTTAACAGCATTAGTTTATACTGGGGCTGATTTGTTGTTTTTGTAGTTGATTTGACATGTAAGAAGTTTAAGTGTAGTGTCATCATCATTATGTGCTTCAGCTTTTCATTAATATGTTTTATTTTTTCAGCTAAATGACCTTTAATATTATAATTGCATTGATATTCCTTCTATTTCTTGAACACAAGTTACTTAAATCCAATCCATGATGTAATGCAGATCAAGCACGATTTGACTATGATGCAAAGAAACTACAAAGCTATGTGAAGGAAAGATCCTTCTGCATTTCAGAAGGAGGTGTTCTTGCTGATAAGATCAGTCCGGGTGTTATCAGATCTCTGGTAACCTTGATAGACATACCGAAGTAAGATATGCAATCTGAAGAAATTGTATAACTCTTTAGTTCTCATCGAGAAAATAGCTCACATCCCTTTTTACTACTATTTTTTAACAATACTTGTCTCCAACCATATAAAGAGATACCCTCTTCTTACAACTTGTTTTACAGTATTAATGTAACACGTTGCCCTTTATTATTTTAGAAAAAAATTAAAAAATAAAGAAAAATAATAATCGGATAACCATTTCTACTTGGTCAAACTAATCTCAAATCGGCTAACCTATTTTAACATGGTCAAATCATATGATGATACGCCAATTGTAAGAAAATTTCCTTACAGAGTTGGAGGCAAGTATTTTCTATTATTTTCTACCTCAACAATGTGCATTAGCTCATTGATCTAATTGTAAGTTTACTACCAGTCACATCTTAGAAGAAAGACTAAACATAACATTTCTCTTTGTCATTTAACATCTTATTATATTTTCTTGATAATTGGAATGGTGCATAGAATTTCTCCCAGGA